TCCTCCTCTTCCTCATCTTCCTCCTCCTCCTCCTCCTCCTCCTCCTCCTCCGCGCTGGCGTCATAAGCGTCGTCGTCGTCGTCGTCGTCGTCGTCGTCAATCGTCGTCGTTAACCCGTTCGTCAGTCGTCGTAGTAAGTATCCCGCTCGTCGACGGTTGGTCGTCTGTTGTCGTCGTCATCGTCTTTTCCCACACGCATCCGGAGCGCCCGGGATCGGCGGCACTGGCCGGAGGCCACTACAAGAAAATGAGAAAGCAGGGGAGGTGGAGGGGCAGGAGGAGGAGATGTAGGGAGGAGGAGGAGGAGGAGGAGGAGGAGGAGAAGGAGGAGGAGGAGGAGCGCCAGTACCCCACGAGTCCACGGGTCTCACGGCACTCAGCGCCTCGTGGGCTTCAGCCAGGGGTAAGGCTTAGCCGATCCAGGCGGCGGCGGAAGAATCGAGTAATTGTTGGGCATCTTTGCTAGCGCCGCTTGGAGGGCATCTAGCTGTTGGGGCAGAGTTAAAGGGCGCCCGTCTTGATGAGAGGCCATATCTTTGGCCACGTGGTATATATAGAAGCTGAGGGCAGTAGCTAAAATGGCATTTTCCCGGGTGAGGTCACACGCGGGATATTGCACAGGAAGGCCAAGCCCGAGGCGGAGGAGTGGGCACGACGAGACGACAGCTCGAGGACGACAAACGAGATGGGTGAGGCGGGGGCACGTCAAATAGTGTGCAATGCGATCGGGTTGAGGGCACCCGATAATGCAGCTCCACTTGATGTCCGTGACGTGCAAGCGATGAGTGGTCGTCCATCCCCCCGCAATCGTTTTGAGGTACGGCCATCGCACCATGGGTGGAGCCCGGCTCAAGATGTCCCGCACCAAATCCCACCGCTCCCTGAGCCGGATGGGGGTCGGACAAGAAAACCATGCGCGCAATCGCCGACCAATTAGCAACTGCAACTGGTCAGGATAAGCGTCGCCGGCAAGGGAGCGCTGATACACTCCCTGCATCCGCGGTCGACGATTCAGTGCGAACGCAGCGCGCAGGGCACCGCGCGCCCGCTGTTGGGCAACACGGAGGTGCGTTGAGGTAAGGGGAGGATTCGATGCTGGCGCGGCGGACGCAAGCTCGTGATAATATTGCACAATGGCCTGCTTGCGGGCCCAGCACGGTGCACACCACGTGCCACTGCTGAGAGCGGGAAGGCTCAGAGACTCCTGAGCGGCGACCTCCAATCGTCGATACAGCGGCCCCCAAATCGTGTCCAGCGTAACGGACGCGCACCTCCATGCGCACGCCATGGCATTCGTGAGTAGAGAGGTGGGGGTAGGGGAAGGAGACCAATTGGCCAAAGAGAGGAACTCGGAGCGAGAGAACGAGTTCGGAGGGAGGTGGAGGGCCTTGTGGAGACCCCAAAGCTCACGATCGTTCAAAGCCTTATCGACCGGAAAGAACTGTGCCACATATGACGTGCAAGTAAGCACCGCAGAGTTGTACAATCGCGATGCTAGGTCGGCTGATGACTGCAGCTCACCAAGCTCCGTGCACCTAGCAGGAGGAGGAGGAGGAGGAGGAGGAGGAGGAGGAGGAGGAGGAGCAGGAGCAGGAGGAGGAGGAGGAGGAGGAGGAGGAGGAGGAGGAGGAGCAGGAGAAGGAGGAGGAGGGGGAGGAGGAGGAGGAGGAGGCGGAGGAAAGGAGGAGGGGGGAGGAGGAGGAGGAGGAGGAGGAGGAGAGGAGGAGGAGGAGAGAGGGAGGAGGATGGAGGAGGAGGAGAAGGAGGAGGAGGAGGAGGAGGAGGAGGGAGGAGGAGGAGGAGGAGGAGGAGACGGAGGAGGAAGAGGAGGAGGAGGAGGCGGAGGAGGAGGAGGAGCAGGAGCAGGAGGAGGAGGAGGAGGAAAAGCAGAAGGATCGCACGCCACTGGGGAAGAGAAAGAGAGAGAGAGAGAGAGAGAGAATCTGCTGCTTAGAAACTGATCGGATCGTTTCTCTGGAATCGGAGCGCGAAATTCGCGGTCGCCTCGGAGCACACCTGTGAGCACGACCTGGGGTGCGTCCGAACTCCTCTGCCTGGGCCGAAAATGCCAGGGAAGCCAGCGCGCACAGCATCGAGGGAGAGGACGAGGACAAGCGTTGAGTTCTGGCTCTGAATATTGCGCAGTAAGGGGGGGAGGAAAGAGAGAGAGAGAGAGAGAGAGAGACAGAGATCCCAATCTCAGCAAAGCCCAGGGCCTCGCATCACTCACGGAATCCCTGCTCACCTCCGGATCGCTCCCATCACCCAGCCCAGTGCTGAGAACGCCCCCTGCCGGATCACATGGTATTTTCCCCCGTCGTTGAATGATATTGGTAGCCCTGCAGAGTCCGCAACATATTGAAGATGGCCAGCTTCGCGACGATGGGTTACTTTTAGCGTCCACCATGCTTGCACTGTCTCCAGATACCTCTCATGCCACGGCGCAGAGGACGAGGTCATCGGTACAGACTGAGCGTCACATTCTTCATCTGAATATTTGTACGCAGCCGGCTGAGCGTCATATTCCATGCCCAAATATATGTACTCATCCGCCGACGGCCCGCTGGATATCCCCATGATCTCGGCCAACGCCGCGGCCACGACCACAGCAAGCATGCACATGCAAATATACTGCATCCACTGCGGTTGCGCCCATCCCCTCGAAGAATCAGCTGCGGGGTTGGCCAATGCTTTTGGCCCTCAGGACCGGATGCCCTTGATGATCTGCAGGACCTTCTGGGCGCGCACCTTCTTGGGGAAGGCCTTGATCTCCTTCATCTCGCAGGACTCCTGGAGCAGGCGGTTGGTCTGCGCAACAACCCGCTTGTCGCCCAGCGCCTTCTCCTCGAAAGGCTCGAGGTCCTTCACCGTGGCCTTGTTATCTGGGATCGGGAACTTCGCACCAAGCAACGACTGAAGCCAGCCCTTCTCGGCGCGGGTGAGCTCGCCCGGCGCCGCCCCTGCTCCAGCTGGGGCGCCGGCAGACGAGCCAGAGCCAGGCGCCGGGGGAACCATCGCCAGCATCTTGCCCGTCACTTTCTCGAGGTGGCCCTCCAGCGTCGAGCGCATCGCCTCCGCCAGCGCGGCCCCCTGGCTGCGGAGAGCCTCCTCGTCTTCCTTGGCCTGCTTCTCGCACAAGAAATTCGCGCACTCGCCGTCGACCTTCTGGAGCCGCTTCCGGGTCCTCGCGACGCGCTCCTCACGCTCCTCGCCTGGCGACAGGGGCGAAGGGCCCCGCCTGCGAGAGCCGCCCCAACCATCGTAGCCGCGCCTCTCGTAGTTCTGCCAGCGCTGCTGCTGCTGGCACGGGCGGCCCCCGCGCCATTGCCCGTAGAACCGGTCGTCTCCATGGTCTCTGCGTGGAGGGGGGCCTCGGCGGTCGTCAGAGCGACGGTCGTGGCGGCCATCGCGCCCACGCCCAACCATGTCTTCAAACTTCAGGAGGGTGCGCCACCGTCGAAAGTGAAAACGGACTCCTTGAGCCACAGCGCTAGGAGGCAGTGAGAAAAGCAGCGCACGCAGAAGTGACCGAGGGTAGCCGAGAAGCCACATCTCGTACAACAATTCCAAAATCCAGAAGATCTCAATCGGCGCCGGAAGTCTCATCGCCCGAGCCCTGGCCAATCGGCTCGCATACAAGCTGAAGAGATGCCCAAAATCACGAACCAGTGCCCCCGCCCAGGGAAGAACCGTCGAAGTGGGTCGCTCCGCCGATGCTTCGAATAACCATTTTCTGTTCGGGTTTTTTGGCAGGTAGACCAGCATGTTATCAATCGCCCAGATTCCCAAGTCTAGCCAAACCACTGGGGACGTCGGGTCTTCCAGATCGCAGGCCGGGGATATTTTTTTTCATCGCACTGGTGCGTTTGGAATCGCGATGTACATGAACGACAATAACTCGTACTGATGCTGATCACATCGTCCACGAATCGCTTCGAACGTATCGGAAAGCCACTCGGCGCCGGAGCCGTCGAGGAGGCTGACGAGGAAGCAGGGCGCGCAGAAGCAGGGAAACCTTCTGGACAAACTTCTCCATATCTGACTTCGAATCCTCCTCCTGGGAAGCTAACAGGATGCTCAGCGCAACTCCGCTCAGTGCGCCCCCGATGGGGAGTCCCCCGAGCTCAAAGACCTGCCCCGCAACGACAACAATCGAGATCCAACAGAACGCAGCCATAGCCTGCCGGATGACTTCGAAAGAAATGCGATACCAGCCTGTAAGACACTCCGAGCCTGCCAAACGGACACTGACAACACGTGATTTTTTAACCAAGACAGCCATAGATGGTATTGAAGCGACCATCCGAGGACGCAGAGACCCCGGCGCCGAGGAAACACGAGCGGCTGTGCACTGCTCGTACGCCTGGTCGGCATCGCCTGTCGCAACTGACACGCACGGAAGCTCCGCCCCACAGCGCACGCAGAAAGGTTGACGTTCCTGTGGTAGTTCACTCCGTATCTGTTCCAATGTACGAACCGCCTGGCCGACGTCAAAAATCTCAAAGCCGACATTCGCGAAACTGATCATACCTCTCGCCGCTCTGCCAATTACCTTGAAGCCCGCCGACCCCGGCGAGCCACTCGTATCTACTACTCGCCGGAGGCACGAGTGGTTGAACTTCCGGCAAAGCTGGACCCCTGTGTCGCTAATGCACTTTTCCTTAACCAAGGGGAAGACCGACGGGCATCGCGTTGAAGTGGACTCTCTTGGGAGTTGCCGTCGTCCTCGAAGCCACACTGGTAAGCCAAGTTCTGCACGTGCCCACAGCCAAGTGCGAACGTCCTGCTCTGAGATGTCGCCCCGACGTTTCCAAGAAGGGTCGCGAAGAATAGCTTCCACCATGTATCGTGCCAAATCTATACCATTTCTTGTCCATGCTCGGTCTTTGTCTTTGTCACTACCTATGATCACATTGTGCGGCGAAATATACGACTCCAATCGCAAGATGTTGTCCATATCTTCCCATGGCTTCGGTGCGGTTTCTTCTGGTAGTTCAGGGCGTTGCCGTCGTTGGCGTAGGCCACGGAGGGTAGGTTTCAGGACTCTGCTGTGAATTCTTGCCTTACCTGCCCAGGAGTTCGCAGCCACCCGAAGCTGTCCAAACAACGTACGTGGATGGTCCCAGACTGGCAGCCGCCATACTCCATGCAATCGTCGCAACTCCAGCGGCGGCAGAAGGGGCCGTTCTGGTTGTACTGGCGGGAGATCTCGCATACGGGTTTCACGAAGAAACCGGGGCGCAGACAGTCGATCTTTCCAAATAGGTTGTTTCTTGAAGGAGATTTTGAGCTTACGTTGGTACCAATGACGAATGCAGTCGATGCGAATGTGTGAAATAATCAGCTCTTTGCATCGCCGGAGGTCGCCCTTGTACTTCGCATGTCAAAAAGCACGGGGAACATGGATAACTGGTACCTGAAGAGTTGGTAGCTGCACTGTTCGCAATAACCGGTCAAGGCCAACATGCGCAGCATGAACACGAGGCCAAGATTCCATTAAAGCCGGTGCGAGTCTTGCTGCACGGAATAACATATCTGCAAGAGCTGCCTTAGGCCATGATGGGAGATGCGTCGATGCACGGCGGACTGACACCCACGCAAGAAGTAAAGCAACCCGGTACGGCTCATATAGAAATAGTGGTCCAATTTGTCCAGACTCGGCGAACCTTCCACGCAGTTGCCGGCGGTACAACGTACTGAACGGGCCAGACTCTGACAGCACCCCTGGTAGTTCGCCATGAACTTCACGCCGTCTCCGAAGGCTTGGAACTTGAGGAAATGCACTCGTAAACGGGGACCGCCGGATTGTAGACGGACGCCTGCGACGCCAGGAAGGGGGGCGAAAGCGTTGCTTCGCACGACGTCCTGCCAGCACGAGACCATGCCCGCGTCGCGAGGCAGTCGATGTTGCTTCGCACCTATCTGCTTGATTAGCTGATGGAGTTATCGTGCGGATTCCCAGGCTCTCGAAGCGCAGCGCTGCTGAACTTGATGATAAAAATAACACTGGGATATAGAAAAGGGAACCCAAACTCCTCGGGAAGCAACGGTATCTCGGTCGTATTGCCGACGACGGGCCTTCCATAAACAGCCAGCGAAGATGCTCACCGATCCGAGGGCCGACACCTGAACGAGTTGCTCTTTGAAGATTTGCCTTTCCAAAGTACAGGGCTGAATAGCTGCCGAGTATGTAAACCACGGCCTGGTAAGGGCCGACTGGACCAAAGCACGCCTGCCGAGCAAAGAAGAAAACACTCTCGTCTGTGCCACGAATCGCCCGATGCCACTCTGGAGGAAGAAGCGGACAAACACGATGAAACCACTTTGGGGGCCGTGCCTCCTGCATTGCCCTCCTCATGCGCACAACTGCTGACACCATCAACAGGTTTGCCACTGCAAAGTGAAGCCACTGTCCCTGCAATCGTCGTGGTGGTGGTGCACGGCCATCAATACGTGGAAGGATCCTTTGAAGAGCTACGGTGACAGGTATTGTCGACAATGTTAGGACCGACTCCCATGCCCAGTCAGATAATAGCTTTGCACGTTCTTCCTGGGTGCCCGTCGCACCCGTCTCGAAAATCGCGTCGCAGAAAACGTGGGCCTGGCTAGCCGTCTGCGCGGAAGTCGAGGCTGAGGGCCACGTCGCCGAGTAGTCAGAACCTGCTGCAAACCACCGCCGGAAGCCATATACTAGCCATATCCGCCACATCAATTGATACGTGTACGTCGAAGCAGAAGAAGGCGTTGGAGTAAAGGAAAAGGAAGAAAAAACACTGCACGCCTGGAATCTGAAATGATATGAATCGTGCCGCACCCGCGAAGGACAACAGCACGGACGAACCACGAACACCCGTTGCACCGCGACGATGCCGGCTCTGAACGTGTCACGAGAGAGTCTGCTGCTTAGAAACTGATCGGATCGTTTCTCTGGAATCGGAGCGCGAAATTCGCGGTCGCCTCGGAGCACACCTGTGAGCACAACCTGGGGTGCGTCCGAACTCTTCTGCCTGGGCCGAAAATACCAGGGAAGCCAGCGCGCGCAGCATCGAGGGAGAGGACGGTGACGAGGACAAGCGTTGAGTTCTGGCTCTGACTATTGTGCAGTAAGGGAGGGAGGATAGAGAGAGAGAGAGAGAGAGAGAGATTGAGTCCAGACGTATCAGGCCAAAACCCCAGGGGGCGCCGCCCATCCGAGAGGGCCTTTTTATCACCCCGGCGCGGCTCGGCATAGGCAGCGCGCCGAGGGCCAGCGACGGCCCCCCCCCCCCTAGAAAAAAAACTTCACCGTCGTCCTCGTCGAGGGGCTCACCTCTTAAGTTTGACATGGAGCTTGTCAGCGAAGCGATCCGCCTCCGTTTCGTTCACCCCGAACGCCTGGAGACGGTCGGCTAGGCACCAACGGCACCCAGCGTGCAAAGCCGGAGCTGAAGCACTCCCCGCACCCCCAGGCTGGGCCCCTGGCTCGACAAAGGACCCCGAAGAAAGCTCCCACGCCCAAGCACCAGGAGATCGCCAGGTGTCCAGCCTTTGGGAGCGGTTGGGACGCATGGATTTTAGAAAGGCCCGCTTCTTCGAGAGCTCGGGACCGAGGGCCCCGGAGGGCTCGGGAGGGGCGACGAGGGGGGTCCCGAGGGGAG